CTGACACCAACGATGGAGCAGTATTCCTCCCCCCACTGATACCAACGATGGGGCACTATTCCTCCCCCCACTGATACCAACGATGGGGCACTATTCCTCCTCCCCCACTGATACCAACGATGGGGCACTATTCCTCCCACTGACACCAACGATGGGGCACTATTCCTCCCACTGACACCAATGATGGGGCACTATTCCTCCCACTGACACCAGTGATGGGGCACTATTCCTCCCACTGATACCAACGATGGGGCACTATGAATCCCACTGACACCAATGATGGGGCACTATTCCTCCCACTGACACCAATGATGGGGCACTATTCCTCCCACTGACACCAGTGATGGGGCACTATTCCTCCCACTGACACCAGTGATGGGGCACTATTCATCCCACTGACATCAGTGATGGGGCACTATTCCTCCCACTGATACCAACGATGGGGCACTATGCATCCCACTGACATCAGTGATGGGGCACTATTCCTCCCACTGATACCAACGATGGGGCACTATTCCTCCCACTGATACCAATGATGGGGCACTATTCCTCCCCCTGACACCAATGATGGGGCACTATGCATCCCACTGACACCAGTGATGGGGCACTATTCCTCCCACTGACACCAGTGATGGGGCACTATTCCTCCCACTGACACCAGTGATGGGGCACTATTCCTCCCCCTGACACCAATGATGGGACACTATTCCTCCCACTGACACCAATGATGGGGCACTATTCCTCCCACTGACACCAATGATGGGGCACTATTCATCCCACTGACACCAATGATGGGGCACTATTCCTCCCACTGATACCAACGATGGGGCACTATTCATCCCACTGACATCAGTGATGGGGCACTATTCCTCCCACTGACACCAATGATGGGCACTATTCCTCCCACTGATACCAATGATGGGGCACTATTCCTCCCACTGATACCAACGATGGGGCACTATTCATCCCACTGACATCAGTGATGGGGCACTATTCATCCCACTGACATCAGTGATGGGGCACTATTCCTCCCACTGATACCAACGATGGGGCACTATTCATCCCACTGACATCAGTGATGGGGCACTATTCATCCCACTGACATCAGTGATGGGGCAGTATTCCTCCCACTGATACCAACGATGGGGCACTATTCATCCCACTGACATCAGTGATGGGGCACTACTCCTTCCACTGACACCAATGACATGGTACTACTCCTCCCACTGCAAAATTACAGTTATGAAGTAGCAACGAAAATAATTTTATGGTTGGGGGTCACCACAACATGAGGAACTGTATTAAGGGGTCGCGGCATTAGAAAGGTTGAGAACCACTGGACTAGACCTAGGTGTCCTCCTGAGGATTATTACATCGCTCACAAGACGAATACTTCCGCTGTCATTTATATACGGATCTCCGTCTTCCGTTACTTTCAGGCTGAAGTTTTCTTGGAGTAATTCGAAGAGCCGGCCCGATACAGAGAGGATCGTCCCCCGCGTGTCACGGCTGTGTGCTCAGTCTATAAAGTCGGTTTATTTAACGATCTGTGTGTTAACACAAGGACTTCCTCATATTTATAGGCCGGTTTCCACCATTCCTGACAGTTCTTAGGTTTTATAGGCCAAATAAAGCGTGGCTCTGTAAACAGATCGCCGTCACACATACTGCTCAGGGATATTCTGTATACTCCGTATTATCTACAGCCGCACAGGGGGGGGGTCATTAACGCAGAGAGGCTGCTTTCATACTTGTGGGAAGACAAAGTCGCACGACTTTGGCGAGGCTTTGGTCTGACTTCACATTCTCTGGACCAAAGTCACATCAAAATCGAACCAAGAGCAGTGCAAGAACCTTTTCCTGATGTCGCAGCGACTTTAGTAGTGTCAGTAGGAACGGCTCTCATAGAAATACACAGAAATACACATGTCCTGCGACTTGGGGTCTCACAAGTCGGATCCCAAGTCGCACAGGTTTACAAGAAAATCCTTCTACCTTTAGAACCACTTTCAGCCCGGGTTCACATGAATGCGGTGTGGCACATCGCATGGGATTCACACAGGAACTGCACCGCATTCCGTTGCAAATCTAATGCAATGTCTGTGCGGTGCGATTTGAGCCATACATTTTGTATGGCTCAAATCGCATCACATCTGCACCAAAAAGGTGCAGGACCCCGGATCGGATTCGCATCCCATGGGTGTTCACACCCGTGCAAAGCGAATTCTGGTAATCGCACTGCATTTTGTGACCTTTTTCGGGTTGTGTCGTTAAAGCAAAGCTACACCTAAAAGGCAACGTTCTGCTTTAAGCCTTTGTCCCCCGCTCCCTATTAAGGATTGGCACCTTTGGGGAGCAGGGACCCAAATTTGACAGGTACCCGCTCCCACTTCCGCTGTGATGGTCTAGGTCAGGGGTAGGCAACCTGAGAGCCGCAGGACTACAAGTTCCATCATGCCTCTGCAAGTCATAGCTGTAACTGTCAGTTTTGTAATGTTGCAATGCCTCATGGGAAATGTAGTTCCACAACAGCTAGAGAGCTGCAGGTTGCCTACCCCTGGCCTAGGCGATTGTCCTCCCTCCCCATAGTCTTCTGGGACACAGGACAGGTCCCAGAAGACTACGGGGCCATTCACAAAGCTCAGCGATTCTCGCACATGTGCAGTGGGCACCTTGGTTGTAAAGCCGGAATCTGTCACAGCCGGGTGCCCACACTGAAGATGCCGGAGAGAGAAGATGGTCAGTGAAACCAGCCGTGGTGAGGACACGGCTGGACCGAGGGACAGTAAGTGGCCGTATTTTAAAAGTCAGCAGCTACAGTTTTTTTTTTTTATCAGGTGGAACTCCCACACCCATACCAGGTCACATGGACGCCGTGCGATTGCAATGCGGTGCAGGAAACGCACAGGATTCGCTGTGTTTCCCCCACCGCATTAGTGTGAACCAGGGATAAAGAAATAATAAAGGTCCATCTTTCTAGGACACTAGCAAAAACCGGTGGCATGCTGGCAGTGGGAGGGGTTATCCGAGCTACAGTTCTTCCTTTGCCATTGTCCAAGCCTCCTGTTGGTGGCAGTATAACCCAAGTGTCTTCCTGTGTGCCTCAATGGACAATTAATAAATAGAAAAGTTACTTTTATGTTTTGAGGTTTAGATATGCTTTAACCCCTTCCAGTCCGGACACTTTCCCCCCCTTCCAGTCCGGACACTTTCCCCCCCTTCCAGTCCGGGACACTTTCCCCCCCCTTCCAGTCCGGACACTTTCCCCCCCTTCCAGTCCGGACACTTTCCCCCCCTTCCAGTCCGGACACTTTCCCCCCCTTCCAGTCCGGACACTTTCCCCCCCTTCCAGTCCGGACACTTTCCCCCCCTTCCAGTCCGGACACTTTCCCCCCCTTCCAGTCCGGACACTTTCCCCCCCTTCCAGTCCGGACACTTTCCCCCCCTTCCAGTCCGGACACTTTCCCCCCCTTCCAGTCCGGACACTTTCCCCCCCCTTCCAGTCCGGACACTTTCCCCCCCTTCCAGTCCGGACACTTTTCCCCCCCTTCCAGTCCGGACACTTTCCCCCCCTTCCAGTCCGGACACTTTCCCCCCCTTCCAGTCCGGACACTTTCCCCCCCCCTTCCAGTCCGGACACTTTCCCCCCCTTCCAGTCCGGACACTTTCCCCCCCCTTCCAGTCCGGACACTTTCCCCACCCTTCCAGTCCGGACACTTTCCCACCCTTCCAGTCCGGACACTTTCCCACCCTTCCAGTCCGGACACTTTCCCCCCTTCCAGTCCGGACACTTTCCCACCCTTCCAGTCCGGACACTTTCCCCCCCTTCCAGTCCAGGCCAATTTTCAGCTTTCAGCGTCATCACACTTTGAATGACAATTGTGCGGTCATGCAACATTGTACCCATATGAATTTTTTTGAGACAGATAAAACTTTATTTTGGTGGTGTTTATTCACCGCCGGGATTTTTATTTTTTTTGCTATATAAATGAAAAAGTTCAAACCTTTTGAGAAAAAAAAAAAAAGTGTTTTTCTTCTAAAATTTTGCAAATAATCTTTCTTTATAAATCTTGTCTTGGCCAAAATGTATTAATTGATCTTTTTAGTAAAAAAAAAAAAAATAATCCAAATTCGTTTATAACCAAAAATTATAATTTTTTCAAAAAAAAACTTTTCATATTTTTATTTTACTTTTTTATGTTGTTTTGCTTTTTTTTTTTTTTTTTTTTTTTTTTAACATTCTGTCACCCTAGCAGTTCAGTGTCACCATAGTGACACTACTACTTGTGGGGGGTGATGAAGGTTTTTTTTTTTTTTTTTTTTACACAGATTGCTTTTACACCCATAAAGGCTGTAAAAGCAATTATTTCTCCTCTATGGCTGCATTCTTGCAGCCATTGAGAAATACTGTGTGAGCTGTGATTGGGCACAGCTTGTCACATGGTACAAGGATGTTGTGAATGGCCCTGTACCATGTCATATCTGTGTGATCATTCACAGATTTCACAAGTAGTAAGCAATGATGTCAGGAAGTGACATCTTGCTTAGGACTATTCATGTGATTACCGATTGGCCCACCAGTGATCACATGATCGAGACCTTGCACAGAGATCGGTGTTCTCCGGACACAGCGGGCACCGGATTGTGGTGCTGCGCGCTCCCAGGGACTGCACACAGGCAGGGAATGCATTTAAAAACGGCCACCCGCTCCTACACTGCTCCTGTCCGGCCATTTATGTACATGGGCCAGACAGGAAGTGGTTAAGCAGGTATGCTCCTCTCACACTCTAACACACATATCAAAGCCAATTCTGATGATTATCCATTTATGATGACTGTCTGATAGGTGCTGCTCCCAATTTAGAGCAGAAACAATTGAGTGTATATATAAAATCCATTAAACATTGATAAAAGAACATATGTGACAGGTCCTCCTTCCACAATCCCCATCGACCTTTCCAGACTTTCCAAAGACAACGTGGAGGCGGAGCGGAGCGTACCTTGTTCTTTAATCTGACGAATCTGCCTGACGGTCTCTTTTAGGATTGCACATTTATCAGGTTTGACATTGAAGTTGTCAATGTCGCTGAGATTTGCTGATATCAGCTCGGCCAGCTCTTCGATGTACTTGCTCTCCTGCTCACGTCTTCTCTTCTCCCCGCTGCAGGTCAGGCTAGGAAAGAAGGAGAGACAGCGCTTAGCATATGTAATTCATCAAGCGGCAGCGCACGCCGTCTCGCATATGCAAAGTCTTCGCTCTGGAAATAGATGGGAACTTCACAGGGAATAGGGAGCGAGACACAGACAGGAACCAGGACAGCCCTCAGCGAGGATTGCTTCACACCGGGACTGTGCGTGACAACCAGGAGGACGGGGCTTACATTTCTGACAAAAAATTCTACTTTCTAACACCTCTCTGTGTTCTACACTAAACATGTGTAATAGTTATCTGGATGAGGATGAGGATGACTGCTACTTCCAACTGCTCGGACAGCGCAGGGCTAGGTGTGGGGCATACACTGCAGCACTGGCTTACTCTCCATCTGTTCATGTGCGGGTCAGATCACCAGTACAGAGGGGAGTTCCTACACCTACTTGTACTTCCACCAATGATCAGGATGACCATATTCCCTTCAGCCAAACAAACCAAGCGCATACACCAAGGCAGGAGTACACACTTCAATGTACACTGGAGCAGTGAGAAGTGTAAACAATACCCAGACCTGATCAGGCCAAGCAGTGAAAAGTGTAAACAATACCCAGACCTGATCAGGTTGAGCAGTGAGAAGTGTAAACAATACCCAGACCTGATCAGGCCAAGCAGTGAGAAGTGTAAACAATACCCAGACCTGATCAGGCCAAGCAGTGAAAAGTGTAAACAATACCCAGACCCTGATCAGGCTGAGCAGTGAGAAGTGTAAACAATACCCAGACCTGATCAGGCTGAGAAGTGAAAAGTGTAAACATAACCAAGACCTGATCAGGCTGAGCAGTGACAAGTGTAAACATAACCAAGACCTGATCAGGCTGAGCAGTGACAAGTGTAAACAATACCCAGACCTGATCAGGCTGAGCAGTGAGAAGTGTAAACAATACCCAGATCTGATCAGGGGGAACAGTGAGAAGTGAAAATACCCAGACCTTATCAGGCTGAGCAGTGAGAAGTGTAAACATAACTCAGACCTGATCAGGCTGAGCAGTGAGAAGAATAAACAAAACCCAGACCTGATCAATGAGAAGTGGAAAGATAGTAAACAATATTCAGACCTGATCAAGCTGAGCAGTGAGAAGTGTAAACAATACCCAGACCTCATCAGGCTGAGCAGTGAGAAGTGTAAACATAACCCCAGACCTGATCAGGCTGAGCAGAGAGAAGCTTAAACAATACCCAGACCTGATCAGGCTAAGCAGCCTTGAGTATAAACAATACCCAGACATGATGAGGCTGAGCAGTGAAAAGTGTAAACATAACTCTGACCTGATCAGGCAAAGCAGTGTGGAGGGTAAACAAGACCCAGATCTGATCAGTGAGAAGTGTAAACATAACCCAGACCTGATCAGGCTGAGCAGTGTGGAGTGTAAACAATACCCAGATCTGATCAGGCAGAGCAGTGTGGAATGTAAACACTATGCAGGTCTGGACCTAAAACCTTTTAATTTGTACAAATGACCTGATGTTTTTTTTTCCTTTCATAAAAATATTAGAAAGCAGAGTTCCTCAAAGTGTCATTTCACCTTTACAGAGAAAATCAAAAGATGAACTAATACTGTACACCCCCCCCTAGTCCCCGCTGTGCTTGCCTATTAGGTTGTGTCAGTGCCCACACAGCCGGTCCAGCAGTCTGGGGACTTAAAATCCTGGCTCTTTTTCCTCTTCCTTGTGCATCTCTTCTGGGATGGACCAGAGCAATTCTGATTGGTCAGAGCTGGCACTAGCTTTGCTCTGATCCGTCCTAGAAGGGCTGCACAGGTAGGAAGAAAAAAGAGCGGGGATTCCAAATCCTTGGACAGCTGCATGGCCACTGACAGCTCAGCATACCTGAAGGTAAGTACACTGGTGACCGGAAGGGGAGGAGTTTTCAGGGGGAAGGCGTCCAGTGTTAGCTTTCATTTTTTTCTGTAAAAGGTGAAAATTTTAATGACTCCTGCATTCTAGAGGACGGAGTGGAGGGGGGCAGCTTACCTGGGGCCCGGAGTGTCACATAACGATGGCTTTCTCTTTCTCGAATCGCCAGACAAAGGATCCAGGGAGTTTTCACCTAGACCGCTCATGGTGAACAAACATCGGCAGCTGGAACACAAACCACAGGACCGCATTCTGTTATTCAGCTCATATCGCTATCAAAATACCAAAAATCACACACACCCAAAAAAAAAAAAAAATGATCAAAAATCCTTTTTGGATTTTAAACTGAACAGATTAAAAAAAAAATACACAACATGTGCTATCAGGCCTTTGAATAAAAAGCTGTTAACTATCCTCACCATACACCCCCCCCCCCCATACACACAAACACCTTATAAAAACAAGAAATGATACGGCAACAAGATGTATATTTAGTTCTAATAAATTCCCCAACTTAACATTCTCATAAAACAACCCAGCATAAATAGAAATGATCCCTTGCGGGGGGGGGGGGGGGGGGGGGGCTGTGCACCCGGACTTTGCCTTTAGGCAGGACAAGAAGGATATATATGAAAATAAAATGCACAATAGAGATTAATTGCAGGGAAAACCTATAAAGTGAGAGAGGTAGGTGCTCTATTGTGCGGTCCGGAGCTGGAAAAGCCTGCGCTCTGGCTGAAGTGTCTCCACACTCTAATGGAAGTCTACGCAGCCAAGCCGGCAACCACGTGTTCTGTGAAAATAAATCCTTTATTGATCACATAGTGACATACACCACAGAGGGCTGATCTGTGAACTGATCCGTGAACATGCGCTGCAGGCCACCGAATGCACACACTGATCCGTGAACATGCGCTGCAGGCTGCTGAATGCACACACTGATCCGTGAACATGCGCTGCAGGCCACCGAATGTACACACTGATCCGTGAACATGCGCTGCAGGCTGCTCAATGCACACACTGATCCGTGAACATGCGCTGCAGGCCACCGAATGCACACACTGATCCGTGAACATGCGCTGCAGGCTGCTGAATGCACACACTGATCCACGAACATGCGCTGCAGGCCGCCGAATGCACACACTGATCCGTGAACATGCGCTGCAGGCTGCTGAATGCACACACTGATCCGTGAACATGCGCTGCCGAATGCACACACTGATCCGTGAACATGCGCTGCAGGCCACCGAATGCACACACTGATCCGTGAACATGCGCTGCAGGCTGCTGAATGCACACACTGATCCATGAACATGCGCTGCAGGCCACCGAATGCACACACTGATCCGTGAACATGCGCTGCAGGCTGCTGAATGCACACACTGATCCGTGAACATGCGCTGCAGGCCACCGAATGTACACACTGATCCGTGAACATGCGCTGCAGGCTGCTCAATGCACACACTGATCCGTGAACATGCGCTGCAGGCCACCGAATGCACACACTGATCCGTGAACATGATCCGTGAACATGCGCTGCAGGCTGCTGAATGCACACACTGATCCGTGAACATGCGCTGCAGGCCGCCGAATGCACACACTGATCCGTGAACATGCGCTGCAGGCTGCTGAATGCACACACTGATCCGTGAACATGCGCTGCCTGAATGCACACACTGATCCGTGAACATGCGCTGCAGGCCACCGAATGCACACACTGATCCGTGAACATGCGCTGCAGGCTGCTGAATGCACACACTGATCCATGAACATGCGCTGCAGGCCACCGAATGCACACACTGATCCGTGAACATACGCTGCAGGCTGCTGAATGCACACACTGATCCGTGAACATGCGCTGCAGGCTGCTGAATGCACACACTGATCCGTGAACATGCGCTGCAGGCTGCTGAATGCACACACTGATCCGTGAACATGCGCTGCAGGCTACTGAATGCACACACTGATCCGTGAACATGCGCTGCAGGCTGCTGAATGCACACACTGATCCGTGAACATAGGCTGCTGAATGCACACACTGATCCGTGAACATGCATTGCAGGCCGCCGAATGCACACACTGATCCATGAACATGCGTTGGAGGCTGCTCAATGCACACACTGATCCGTGAACATGCATTGCCGGCTGCTGAATGCACACACTGATCCGTGAACATGCACTGCAGGCTGCTGAATGCACACACTGATCCGTGAACATGCATTGCAGGCCGCCGAATGCACACACTGATCCATGAACATGCGCTGCAGGCCACCGAATGTACACACTGATCCGTGAACATGCGCTGCAGGCTGCTCAATGCACACACTGATCCGTGAACATGCGCTGCAGGCCACCGAATGCACACACTGATCCGTGAACATGCGCTGCAGGCTGCTGAATGCACACACTGATCCATGAACATGCGCTGCAGGCCGCCGAATGCACACACTGATCCGTGAACATGCGCTGCAGGCTGCTGAATGCACACACTGATCCGTGAACATGCGCTGCCGAATGCACACACTGATCCGTGAACATGCGCTGCAGGCCACCGAATGCACACACTGATCCGTGAACATGCGCTGCAGGCTGCTGAATGCACACACTGATCCATGAACATGCGCTGCAGGCCACCGAATGCACACACTGATCCGTGAACATACGCTGCAGGCTGCTGAATGCACACACTGATCCGTGAACATGCGCTGCAGGCTGCTGAATGCACACACTGATCCGTGAACATGCGCTGCAGGCTGCTGAATGCACACACTGATCCGTGAACATGCGCTGCAGGCTACTGAATGCACACACTGATCCGTGAACATGCGCTGCAGGCTGCTGAATGCACACACTGATCCGTGAACATAGGCTGCTGAATGCACACACTGATCCGTGAACATGCGCTGCAGGCTGCTGAATGCACACACTGATCCGTGAACATGCGCTGCAGGCTGCTGAATGCACACACTGCTCTCGGTGTGGCAGATATGAGGATGATGCTGGATGGGTGTAATTCCTGCAGCATCCAGCAGATGGTGCCAGCATTCCCATAGTGTAAGCTCCTGGCTCCTCTCTGTACACACCCCAACACTCAGCCTTCCCCAAGGTTATTCAATGAGAATCGCCCCCCATCTATGAAGCCTCGTCAGATGCTCGGCGCTCACTGGCCTCATTACCCCGGGAGGAGGGTGTGCAATCACTGAACTCTGAGAATACACTACAGATAAGATGGAAAACGCCGCCATCGGTATCAAATAATATTGTAACATAGACAGAGCTGTGCTGTGTAGCAGAGCAGTGCAGATATCAGCTCTGGATGAAAATACACATTCTTTGGCTGATAAACAGCTACCATATATGTAGCTAATCTGTGTATTTAGCTATAGATCTTCTTCATCTGTGTAGTCATCTATAGATCTTCATCTGTGCATTCATCTATAGATCATCTGTGCATTCATCTATAGATCTTCTTCATCTGTGTATTCATCTATAGATCTCCTTCATCTGTGCATTCATCTATAGATCTTCATCATCTGTGCATTCATCTATAGATCTTCTTCACCTGTGTATTCATCTATAGATCTCCTTCATCTGTGCATTCATCTATAGATCTTCATCTATAGATCTTCTTCATCTGTGCATTCATCTATAGATCTTCATCTATAGATCTTCTTCATCTGTGCATTCATTATAGATCTTCTTCATCTGTGTATTCATCTATAGATCTTCTTCATCTGTGTATTCATCTATAGATCTCCATCTGTGCATTCATCTATAGATCATCTATAGATCTTCTTCATCTGTGTATTAATTTATAGATCTTCATCTGTGTATTCATCTATAGATCTTCATCTGTGTATTCATCTATAGATCTTCTTCATCTGTGTATTCATCTATAGATCATCTTCATCTGTGCATTCATCTATAGATCTTCTTCATCTTCATCTGTGTATTCATCTATAGATCTCCATCTGTGAATTCATCTATAGATCTTCTTCATCTGTGTATTCATCTATAGATCTTCATCTGTGTATTCATCTATAGATCTTCATCTGTGTATTCATCTATAGATCTTCATCTGTGTATTCATCTATAGATCATCTTCATCTGTGCATTCATCTATAGATCTTCATCTATAGATCTTCTTCATCTGTGTATTCATCTATAGATCTCCATCTGTGAATTCATCTATAGATCTTCATCTATAGATCTTCTTCATCTGTGTATTCATCTATAGATCTTCTTCATCTGTGTATTCATCTATAGATCTTCTTCATCTGTGTAGTCATCTATAGATCTTCTTCATCTGTGCATTCATCTATAGATCTCCATCTGTGAATTCATCTATAGATCTTCATCTATAGATCTTCTTCATCTGTGCATTCATCTATAGATCTCCATCTGTGAATTCATCTATAGATCTTCATCTATAGATCTTCTTCATCTGTGTATTCATCTATAGATCTTCTTCATCTGTGTATTCATCTATAGATCTTCTTCATCTGTGTATTCATCTATAGATCTTGTATTCATCTATAGATCTTCTTCATCTGTGTATTCATCTATAGATCTTGTATTCATCTATAGATCTTCTTCATCTGTGTATTCAGCCACTCTCCTGGATGTCTGCAATGCCCATGCTTGAGCAGGCAGGATGAAAACTGCTCAGGGCGATGAGATGAAAAAGGGGGCAGCATGACAACTGCCTGAAACTCAGCTGATTGGTAACATTCCTGGGAATGAGGAGTTTGGAGACTCATTCCACCATACCAGATCACGGCTGTATGAGTAGGGTGTGTGTTGTAGATCCCCAGGATCACTCATCCCAACATACCAGATCACGGCTGTATGAGTAGGGGGTGTGTTGTAGATCCCCAGGATCACTCATCCCAACATACCAGATCACGGCTGTATGAGTAGGGGTGTGTTGTAGATCCCCAGGATCACTCATCCCACCATATCATATCATTGCTGTATGTGTAGGGTGTGTGTTGTAGATCCCCAGGATCACTCATCCCAACATACCAGATCACGGCTCTATGAGTAGGGGGTGTGTTGTTGTAGATCCCCAGGATCACTCATCCCAACATACCAGATCACGGCTGTATGTGTAGGGGGTGTGTTGTAGATCCCCAGGATCACTCATCCCAACATACCAGATCACGGCTGTATGCGTAGGATGTGTGTTGTAAATCTATATACCCCA